TCCATCCATGGGATTTCCCAGGCAGGAATACTGGAGTGGGTTGCCGTTTCCTTCTCCAGGGGATCTTCCCAGCCCAGGGATTGAACTTGGGTCTCCTGCATTGTAGGCACACTCTTTACTGTCTGAGCCGCCAGGGAAGTCTTGGAATATAAGCACTTGACTGATTAGCTTATTTTTCCTCAGCTCATACAACCCTATGATGTAGGTACTAATATTATAGCTATTTTATTCGAGGTCACATGCTGAGTTATCAACAGAATGAAACATTGAACCTACACAGCTTGGCTTGAGTATATTCTTTTTGACCATTAGATACCCTCTCACCTTGTCTGAAAAGACAGTCTCTCCCAAAGCCAGCCAAAACGATAGTGCTTTCTTCTTGATATATAACTACCATCATGTGACTTTGATTAACAGCATATGAAATGAATGATTGCAAATTCAGTTACTAGAAGACAGAAAATTAACTAATTAAATCATATTTGTAGAGAAACAAGATGTAACATCCTCTGCCATAGATATCCTATGTATCATCTTCTGAGTGTTATTTGGGAATTACTACTGTCACCACCTGTTAATATTTAAAAAGCATTTGCCTGGACTGACACTTTGCTGGGATTATCTGATTTAATTACAATAGCAAACTTATGAGGGCTGATAATACCATTTTTGTATTTCACATGGGGAGACTATGGCTCAGGGGTTTAAATAATTTATTTCAACTCCACAGTGTGAGAAAGTAAGGCAGCAATCTGGACTCAGGCAGGCAGTCTGCAGAGCTCACACTGCTCATCACTATGTCTCTCCCCATAGTGTACTGTCTCCCATTGGTAACCTAGTCAGCGTGACTTAAACAGGATAAAAAGAACTGTAGACTCCATACATATAATGATTTTAGGAACTGTATAGAAACATCAGAGCATCTTTTACATTTGGGGACAGAATAGATTCTTGAATATTTTTCATTTTTAGCCTTTTAAATTTATTTTACCTTGAAGATAGGCAGAGGATCTAACCCAATGCTCAAAATACAAAATGAATACAGTATAGAGTAGGAAATGACAACCCACTCCCATACCGTTGCCTGGGAAAATCTATGGATAGAGGACCCTGACAGGCTATAGGTGAAGAGTCGGACATGACTGAGCAACTGAGCTTACACAGGTGTAAAATAGTTGACTTCATTTTAATCTCAAATATGCCATTTACCTGGTTTTGGTTTCTCAATTTAAATTGGTGAGCAGACTTAAAAGACATGATTTTAGCATGAATTATTGAGAAATCTGAGAGCCCTATAGTAGATTTGTTCGACTGGAAGAAATTAATGGATGCTCTCATCTAAAAAAATAAATCAATGCTTTTTATTGGATCTTTCCAGATTAGCGTCTTCATCCTGGTGGCTCATTACCAAGGTAGCTTTGTGCTTGTAACTAGAAATAATAATACTAATGATTATTATTATTGCATATGTTCAGCAGCCCAGCAGTTTCACTTACCAAATTGGCTGGTGTGCAGCACACACAAATAAAAGTTGCATGAAAAAGAACAGCTGTGTAGAATACTGTCTTTGGAAAGGCAGATTTACTGAAACAGTGATTATAGTGTGTGAAGCTCAAGGCATATCCGTGATGATCGTAGGACCATTTCTCTCATGCAGTATTTTATATCTATTGCCCTCAGAATGAGAAGACAGTGAATTCATGATAGTAAATGCTATTCCCTATCCTGTAAAAGTGGTTTTTTTTGCAACCTCCTGCTTTTAGTCACTGAAAACTTGCTGAAAAGCTTCCTTAGAAGGTACAACTTTTACTAGTTGGCCTCTTCCAAAAGATAGGGCTTGAGTGAACAGAGAATAATATTTAAGTTCTAAAAAAAAAAAAATGGCAGTGTTTCATTTGGTGTCCTGAAAATTTACTTTTAAGTGAAAGAGAATTTTTTAAAATGTTGGATTGTATAAGTATTGCCTGAGATCTTTCATATCAAGAAATTTCAGTTTAAAAAAAATGAAGTTTCAGTTTATCATCTATAAAAGGTAAAACGGAAATCGTTTCTCCCCCATTAGCATGTCAGAATTTAACTATGAGTCACTTGGACTTAATGAGCATAAAAACCATAAATGCAGTTTTTTGTATTAAATTTTAGACAATTATTTTAAAATGTTATTTGAATCTTGTGTATTAGATGATGAAAGTTGGTGTTAATGTACCTGTATTCAGAATCATCTGACTGTTTTAAAATCTTTGGCTTTGCCATTTTGTTTGGTGCAAATCTGGAGGTTGTCAGGGAGGGTGATGATATATGTTCATATTTATATTTCATTGAAAAGGGCAAATTATGACACCCTTTGTATGAACTGCTAAAATGCAGTCCTCTAGCTTGTCTGTTAGTAGGACCCTCCCATTCTGCTTTTAGTGGTTCTTTTGTTAAAGATTTATGTATTGAAAGAAAAAAAAAAATGATCCCAACTCTAAAACTTTTCTTTTTATGGAACTTCATAGTTGAGATAGCTAGGTTTTCATAAATACACTTGATCCTCACAGGAACACTCTGAGACTAACAAGATTATTCCCGTTCTACACACGGGAAACTGTGGGGCCCAGATGTTGCATGATACAGCCAGTGACATTATCGCCACCCTGACCTAAATCCAGCAACCATATGCCCAACCACAGTGGCCCTCTGATCAAAATCACATCATTTACAAGCATCATACCTAAAATAAATTGCCAGTTTCTCTTCATCTCATAAAATGTGGGGTTTTTTAGGATTAAAACACTAGGAAACTAGGCAGCATTGTGCAAAATTAGAGAAAAGGAAAAGCTTTCATTGTTTCAATCCATGCTTATTTAGACAATTACTCCTTTGAGTCAAGCTTAGTTTTCTAGCAATTATTTTAGCTGATAGAAATGTCAGTGTACATATATATAATTCACAGCATAATATAAATGTATATTTATGAGGATCTGGATTGTACAGTTGTGTTTGTATATACTTATGTTTCTTCTACTGAGATGGAAGAAAATGATATTTCAGATATAAGTCCTTGGTTTTATACTGTCAATTTGATGGCTGCTTTTTAAATTATTTGAAATTAAAATTATGTGAAAATAAAGCTTTAAACACATAAATAGTTGGGAGAATCACTCCTCAGCAGAACAAAATGCTTACCTTGGAATGAAGATGTAAGAATGTGTCTGCCATACCCATCAATAGATTACTTAGAATTTGGGCTTGTAGTGTTCAAGAGGATGTGTTATTCACTTTCCTGGAGTTGTTGCAACGTGTCTCTCGAGTGGCCAGTGCTAAATCTCTCTGGAGGCTAAATCATTTGTTCTCTTCATTATTCCTGTCATTTCAAACACTGGTGCCCATATTACATTTCACAGTGATTTCTTCCTGCAACGAAGAGGAGAATTTTCAGAAAAGGCAGGTAAATTTTCTCAGCCACTGGAAATCAAAGACTGTGTTAAATCAATGTTTGTCAAGAAAGTGTATCATAAAAATAAAATTTCTGTATTTTTCACAATGATGAGCTAACTTCATTAGCAATCTATGACACCTAATGACCATAGAAATATATGCTCCTCCCCCCCCCCCCCCCCCCCCCCCCGCCACCTGCCATATTCTTCTTACACTGACTCCCAGACTGGGAGCCCTTCACAGAACTTGTGTAAAATAACCACTGAGTGGCAGGCAAATTGATAATAAAATCTATGCCCTGTCTAAGACACCCCTGCTCCCAGAGTCTCTAGAAGCCAGCAGGCCCATTATGTTTGTATCCCCCCATCATCAGTTCAGTCCTTCTCTGTGCATGGGAGTAAGAAGCTACAGATTTGCAGGCAGAAGCTCCTTCTTTGTGAGTGAAACTGACTGAAGAGACACAAACATGGTTGCTGCCTCCATGCAGAATTATGTATGTTTGAATTTTACACCTTTCTTTTATAATTTGAAACCAGCCATGGCAAGGCAACATCTTGCTACTTTGTTTCTATTTTTCATAGTTGATCAAACTACAAACAAAACAACAACCTGTCTTTTGGCAAATGTTTCATGAAAAGATAAGTATGTTACTTAATGAAATAAAAATAAAATATCCACAATAATTTTTAGAAATTCACTTTTTGTTGTAAGCATCACTGGAAAAGAACTGTTAGGCAATCATAAGTACCATGGTATTCAGAGCATAACTAGAAATTCATTGACACAGCCGAAATCTTTGTCTCTTTGTATCATATTTCTTCTGCATGCATATAATGATGTCTATGTACATATTAGGTATTCTGGCTATTATTCTTTTTTTTTTCCTGTAAATAAACATTCTTTTGACTTGAGTACCTGTGAAAATCCACATGATTCTGCCTCAATAGTATGTACAATAGCATTAATAATACTGCTATAATCAATCTCATGAGAAATTTTGGGGACCATTAAAATTTGGTAAAGGATTATACTATAATTGTTTTTCTCCCCAGTTTTTTTTTGAATTATGAATAGTTGATTTTCTGAAATGCAATTGAGTCAAGTAAGCATTCAACTTTTCAACTATTTCAAGAATGGGTTTTATGGAACGAAATCCCAAGGGCTTTCTTGAAGATCTGGTCTGATAGGATTCCTAAGAGCAAGTCTTTCCTTCACTGACTCCTGGCATGAAGTGTATGACCTCTAGGTTATGTTCACCAAGTCTATGCAAAGAACAGGGATTCCAGAATCATCCTTTGGGTCCAAAAGGGGTAACTTCTCCAGTTGAGATCTTCCTGGTCACTGCTGGAGTCACTTGAATAACTGCAAATGGCTCTCAAAAATATTATGAAATAATAGAGAAAATAATTTTAATAAGCTATAAATACCTAACTATGGTAGTCCTTTAAAAGTCAGTAATTTATTTAACATAGCAAATACCAGCACTTTTGAGTTTTTACTATTCATTTCTAATACTTAATTGTGTAGAGTTTTAAGATGATAGCTGTTATGAAATGATTCTACTTTCTTTTTCTTTGTAGGTAACCCATTAACCAAGGTGAAATCAAGTGATCCTCAAGGCTGATTACATTGAACATATGCTTACAAACATAATTCATGAAGTGATCTTGAAGGAAAAATTTTATACAGCTCCGAAGTGGCACTCTGGAGTCTATTACATCTGGGGGATTTCATGGCTCATAATCAGCTTCTTGGAATCAAGACTTTTTAGAAGTCCTACATGAACTTCAGTATCATGAAGATTTCATCAGATTTGAACTGTGTTCAACTTGTATAATTGTACTTAAAAAAAGAACTTGAAGTTGCTATCTGAAGAGTTGGCATTTCTGGATGGTATCAGAGACACCTACCCTTTGGGCTCTTGGCCCCAAATGTGACTGCCTTTCTTGTTTCTGAAAGTCTCTCAAGTGCCCTGGCCTTCTGTCATGTGACCTGTTCCTCGGTCCTGTGTTCGCTGGCTAGGATTGTACATGGCTTCAGTGACGTCTCCTTTGCAAACTTCTCCTCTGGCATGGTGTAGACTGAGACAATTTAATTTGTATCCTAACCTTGGAGCTCTGAAAGCCTACATGTTTTAACACCTTAAAGTTGCTTTTGTTAAAGGAATGGAAATATATATCCATTGATAATAATTATTGTTGGCAAGTTATAGTTATCTGAATACATCAATCATATAAGAATGTATAGACAAGCTGACATGCTTCCCCAAGGCTAACACACTACTGCAGCTCCCTGTCCATTAAATAGGTAGTAGTTAGAACTGAATTACCATTTTCATTATATGCTCCTATTTGGTACCTCTAGAGTACATTCCCTTTCAGAGATTTTTTTTCTTTTTAAGTGAACTTTTTCTTTTATTTCTATCTTTACTTTTTCCCTTCACAGAAATCAGCAGTGAGCAGTCAAGTATTTAGGTAACCTTCAGTTTCAAAAAACTGCCAGGGATGCATGTGGGTTTTGATTTCTTAGCTTGAAAGTTATTCGCTTAGATTTCTTCTAATATTTTTTTAAACTGTCCTTTCTATCTCATTTTTAAAAGACTGTTTCTTGCTCGATCCCAAGGACTGTTTGAATGCCTATTTGTTTATTCAGTCTGTTGGTAGAATAAATTGTTCATTTCTTTGGCCTCAAATTTATAAATATTTGTTTATAGTTTTCCCATTCGAACAATTTCTTAGGTCAGTTTTTGTCCACGTTTTTGTAATCCTTTTAACATCAGTGGTTTCAGTTCTAAAGGAAAATCTTACAAATATTTCAAGGCCTTAAACACGTATGAACTTTTTTTTTCTAAGTTATTCACAGAATGTATAATTTTATACTACTTTATTTTGCTTCATTTGTGATGTGGAGGGAAAGAAGAATGGAAATTGCATAGCCATTCTGTAATAATATTGTGTAAATGTACAGTTTGAAGGATCGTAAAGGGAGAGATTTCTGTGTTTTACTCATCTTAGATTAATAGGAAGATACTTCAGAAATTGTCCTATTAGACATTCTATTATGTGAGAGAGTGTGGGTATCTTCTGTGATTTTAAAACTCACTCACATGGCCAATTATGTATACGTTGATTTCCATGATGGAGGCTGACATACAGACCAAACCTCTCCAGGGTAAATTGGTAACAATCTTCCAAGACCAATATATTACCCAGAATCTTTTCTCAGCAGAATGACTAACACTGTAAAATTTGTTAAACATGAAATTTGTAAAGTATACTTTTGATATTGAACTAAAGTATACTGGCCCATAAATCCATGGAATGACTTTCTTCTTCCATTTTCATTATGCATACAGTTAGATGGTTCTGAGTGAATTTTGCAATGGTTCAAGACTGTCTGAACTTGTAAAGAAAGGAGTAATAGTTGTGCTGGAGTTTCTGCATCAGTGATAATATTAATTTCTTTGGAACAAAGTGGAAAATTATATTATTTTGGAAATTATGAATTTGTCCTAGGTTTGAAATTATAGATCATGCCTCTCTTTTTAAAACTATGTCCTTTAAAATAACACTGGAAATTCTGTATTATATTCAAGTGTAATACATGCATATCAATAGAAAAAAAATAAATGGAATTTCAAATATACTGACTAGATTATCCCCAGTAATGTTGTGACTCTTCAGAAAAGGTGAATAAAATTGGAATATAAAAATGGACTCTCTTTCCTGAGTTATTTTCAGAGAATCTGTTTTTCAGTGTTTTATTTTAAAAGCACTTCAGTTACTACCCAGGAAAACCTCTGATTTTATGGGAAAGCTGACATATATTCTTTAATTGTTTTATAAAAATCCATGGCAAATCCTGCCATTTACACAAGGTTCCAATATTTGGTTGCTTCCTTGCTAAGAAACAATTGAAGTAGATGTATTTATACTTGTGCCACTTGCTCACATTGTGACTATGAGCACAACTGGAAAATTTTTGCCAGCCATATACAAAACTCATTCTATTAAAAAATTGTCTAAAAAAATATACTGTTTATCCTTTGAAATTCATTATATAGTTGACCCCTGAAAACACAGGTCTTAACTGCCTCGGTCCACCTGCACATGGTTTGTTTCCAACAGTAAATACTTTGGCACTACACCATCTGAGGTTAATTCCAGGGAGGTGGAATCATGGATATGGAGGAAACACAAACAGGGAGGATGGATTCTAAGTTATACGTAGATTTTCAATTGCAAGGAGGGTTAGCTCCCCTGACCCTAGCATTGTTCAAAGGTCAACCATATATGGGAGTGTTAATTAAAACAAATATGGCGAAAAGGGAACCCTCTTACACTGTTGGTGGGAATGCAAATTAGTACAGCCACTATGGAAAACAGTGTGGAGATTTCTTAAAAAGCTGGAAATAAAACTGCCATATGACCCAGCAATCCCACTTCTGGGCATACACACCGAGGAAACCAGATCTGAAAGAGACACGTGTACCCCAATGTTCATCGCAGCACTGTTTATAATAGCCAGGACATGGAAGCAACCTAGATGCCCATCAGCAGATGAATGGATGAGGAAGCTGTGGTACATATACACCATGGAATATTACTCAGCCATTAAAAAGAATTCATTTGAATCAGTTCTAATGAGATGGATGAAACTGGAGCCCATTATACAGAGCGAAGTAAGCCAGAAAGATAAAGACCATTACAGTATACTAACACATATATATGGAATTTAGAAAGATGGTAACGATAACCCTATGTGCAAAACAGAAAAAGAGACTCCGATGTATAGAACAGACTTGTGGACTCTGGGAGAAGGCGAGGGTGGGATGTTTCAAGAGAACAGCATTGAAACACGTATATTATCTAGAGTGAAAGAGTTCACCAGCCCAGGTTGGGTGCATGAGACAAGTGCTCGGGCCTGGTGCACTGGGAAGACCCAGAGGGATTGGGTGGAGAGGGAGGTGGGAGGGGGGACCGGGATGGGGAATACATGTAAAAAAAAAAAAAAAGATACACTATGGTTGTGATAAAAAAAAAAATAAACAAATAAAAAAAAAAACCAAAAAACAAATATGGCTATAATTTAGCCTTTTAAATTACTTTAAATAGCTTTGCTTTTGAATTTAGATTTTTTATAAAAAGTTATGAAAACAGTTCAGAAGCCTTCTGTGTACCCTTTCCCCACCATTCCCTAGCGATAACATCTTACACAACCAAGAAATTGACATTGGTACAATACTATCCTCTCAAATACAGAACTTTTCAGACTTCACTTGTTCCACATACACTTTGAGTATGTTTATTTTTGTGCCTGGGGTTTCCCTGGTAGTTCAGTGTTAAAGAACCCACCTGCCAATGCAGGAGATGTGAGTTCGATCCCTGGGTTGGGCAGATCCCCTGGAGAAGGAAATGGCAACCCACTCCAGAATTGCCTGGGAAATCCCAGGGACAGAGGTGCCTGGAGGGCTATAGTCTATGGGGTCACAAAAGTGTAAGGCATGATTTAGAGCCTAAACAACAATAATATATGATGTATGATCCTATTCGTTTAAATTAATTTGGTAAATGTCTACTCCAGTATGTCATAACACAGAGTATGGGTCAATAGGTGTTTGATTTGTGATGACTTTTTTGAAGTTCTCTATTTATAGAATGACATCCTATAGAGTTATTTTATTTTTATACATTCTTATTGCATTAACACAATGGGAACCTTCAGTTTTAACATCAAACAGTACCATATAAGATTTCAAATTAGCAGTTGGCATTAATGGGTAGGAAGAGGTCTGAGATTCTGTATCTATGGTTGAAATAAAAAAGGAGTTTGTTACTGTTCTTCATTTTTCTTAGCAAGACCCATATATACAAGGCTATATAATTGGACCGTGACTTTTAATAGTACACAATGGTTAGTATCACAGTGATCAAGTAGGACATTAACTGGGTCATGATCTTTTAAACATTTTGATCATTTTCTCAATTCACGATCATATGTGAAAGTCGCTCAGTCATGTCCGATTCTTTGCGACCCACAGACTGTAGCCTGCCAGGCTCCTCTGTCCATGGAATTCTCCAGGCCAGAATACTGGAGTGGGTAGCTGTTCCCTTCTCCAGGGGATCTTCCCAACCAGGGATAGAACCCAGGTCTCACACATTGCCGGCAGATTCTTTACCATCTGAGCCACCAGGGAAACCCTCATGATCATATATCCATCTGAAAGAGCAACATGTGCAAAGATATCTAGTAGTATTTATTATCATGGAGATGTTTCTCATTTTGACCCACTTATGTAGAGAGAATTAGAAAAAAGGAGGACATCTTAGAGAAACTGAAAAGTTGGGGCAACATATACACACAGCCTCTCCCTTTCCCCTTACCCACATAGAGAACTCACAGGAGAACATTACTGTTTCTATTAAAGTATGGGTTTGTCTGTCTGTCTGACTTCATACCTGCCTTCCTCTCCTTTCTTTTCTTTTTTTCTTCCTTACCCTGCTTTCCCTCCAATCCTGCCCTTCCTTCCCTTCTTTCTCTATTGTTTTAAATATATAGAATGCTTTGAAAAAAGGGTAGAGGTAGCAGATTT